GCTTGATATAGGGAGAAATTACTTCACTGGGTGGACGGTCAAGCAGCGGAACAGGTTGCCCAGAGAGGCTGTGCACTCTCAGTCCTTGGAAGTTTTCAAGAGCCAACTGAATCAAGCCCTGTGCAACCTGGTGGTCTCACCCCATAGCAGACTCTGCTTGAGCAGGAGGTTGGGCTAGAGACCTCTTGGTTACTTCCAACCTTATTGTCCTATGACTCTACAACACTACATCTGTCAAATACAATAGTTGCTGCATTAACATCTGGCAACTATACTAATCTGTAGTTTGAGTTCTAAAACTGCAAATTCCTACTCCTGCAAGTGGATTTAATGATACCAATAGTCCCAGTGAGACTGACAGGATTGCTGGCAAGAATAAGGCATTAAAAGATCACATCACTAGTCTGGAAACCACTTTTCTTTTGTTTTTTAGTTCAGTGGCTGGACATGTCTTTCTTGAAAAAGTTCATATGTCAAAGAAATTATTTGAAAGGCAAAAATATTATTTCTTTGGTATTTGTGGTTTTACGTGCTACCTTCCGGTCTTTATAAACAGGTTATTCCCTCCAGTTGCCATGCATAAAGCCATGATTAACACAGGGAAAATTAGCTTACTTTATAATTGAAAGTGCTGTCAAATAAAATGTGCCATAGTAGAGGAAAAAGTATTTACTTCTCAGTTTTAGTAACCTTAGAGATCAATAATATGTAAATCAAACTAAGAAAGTGGTCTTTGTTTTAGTTGTAACTATTGCTGTTGTTCTTTTAAACCACATGATGTCCCTGTGACAGAACTGTTTAAATTTTTCTGTGAAATTTTACCCTTTGCCCTTGCCACAGGTTTGTAACCAATGTGATGCCCTGTTTCTGCAGTTTATTTTTATGTATCAGTATCCCCTCTGTTTTTACTGGTGGGCAAAAAATACATTTGCTTGACAGGGCTATTTTTGACCTACAGTAACAAAACCATCTGGTAAAAAGTGGAAATTCAGCACTTGCAAGTTAATGTAATTTGTAGATTTGTATTTGAGCAACCAAGACAGGGTTCTATCTGTTAGAAATTTTCAAGTGAGCTTTCAGTAGATGGCATAGGCAGCTTTGTATTGCTACCAAGAAGGCCGAGCTTTTGTCTTTTTGTTACTACTCAAGTAATGGAAAATTGTTAATTTATACTTACTTCCTCTATGCAAGAATTGCATCCCATTAAGTCTTTTATCATGATGTTTCAGGTAGAATATGAGCTGTGTTTTATGGAGAAGCATTTCTAATTCCCAAGCGAGTCAGACTGTAATCACAAGTTTAGAAGAGAGCTTTTCAGTTAAAAAGGAGCAGTTACTGGGTAATGTACTTGCATATGGTCAAGAGTAGCTAGGAGCTGAGTCTTGAGGGTTAGCATTTTTCTCTCAGGAATTCTCATGTGTCATTTCTTGGCCACTTCTCTTTACACATCATGGACTTGCCAAGACAGTGTGAGCAGAAGGATGCATGCTGATTTTCTTTTTGGGAGATACTGAACCCACAAACTTATAGAAGGCTAATGTACATCCAGAATACTTATTTAAAATTGAAAATCAAAGCTTTGAAAAATTGTAATCTCAAATGCCTCTGTTTGGGATTATGTCCTATAAAAGTGAATCTAATAACGTGAAAACCAAATTAGCTTTATGATCTTGTTTTGAATCATTCAGTTGCAGCTTCTTGGCTTCAACATGATTCAAATTCCAATATTATATCTGATTCTCTTTTGGCTTCATTTTCATAATACACCTGGAGTTCTCTGTATTTATTTGAATAGCAAGCCAGTGTTCCTGATGTCTAATGAATTTTGGCAGATTGGATATTATTATTTTCCTCCATGTGTTTTATCAGAAGATGGTGTATTGCAGGTGCTTACCTAATTGATATGAAAGTGTACCCTCCTGAACAATACTTGTTTTACTCTCAACATAAAGCAGTAAGACCGAAGTGTTGAAGAAATTGGTATTTGTAGCATGCATTTTAAAAAGTATATATTTTGGGACTTTAACTGTAATTCTCTTACACCAACTAGCCTTTTTTGACTCACCTTTTTGTCAGTATGTGTGTATATTTTAGAAATGCACTATTTTTACATTTTTATTTTCAATGCTTTCAGCATTTGGTAGAGACTTCTGCTTAAAAATCAAATTAAAAATATGTGCTTCAACATTTTAACCTGTTTTTCACATATCGGTATATATGTGTGCTTTCTAAGGTCCTTGCCAAAGGGTCGTTTTTATTTATTTATTTTTTTAATTTTGCTTTATTCTTTGCTTTGTTTCATGTCTGTTCAATTTTATTTATTCCATGTTTTCTTTTTGTTTTGTTTTTGTTTTTAGTTGTGTCTGGTAAGTTGAAATTTTATTGGCCATCTTCTAATCATCGTATCACTGTGACGGAAACTTCTCCTCCCCTTCCCATCCATCCCCTTCCATGTCCTTCAACCAGTCAGCTCCCATCTTTTACTTGTTATTGACAAGACACATCGCACAGAATAAATTCTGCATGAAGTATGGGTAACTTAATGGCAAAGAGAAAGGTAATGGGTTGCTAACTTTCTGTCCATTTTTACATGCTGTAACGAGTCAAATTTAATGTCTTCTTTCTTCAGTGACTGCATTATTTAAGATTCTAAGTGTTCTATACAAAATTATCATTGTTTTAAAAGTCTCGAGGATAGAAGTTGTTCTTTCCTTAAGTGGATTATTATTTCCGCATCTTTTACAGCATATTGATCACATACCGCACGTATGTGATCCAAAGTGTGAAAGCAAAGTCAAGTTCAGAAAAAGACTATGAAAACGCTTCCAATACAATAAACATTGAATTAAATTTAATAACAAAGTTTCACTTAACCCTGTTTTCATTCTTCTGATGTTGAAGCTAATAGGTTTTTTATCATTTACCTTAATGGTAATAGCTTTAGAATAATACATATATGTATAATATGTATACATATTTAGAATAATATCTAGAAAGACATATACCTATTCACATTTTATAAATTCTGCCATGGTCACCTGAGGGATTGAATTTACCCTCATGTTTTGTGTTCAGTAGTCCCTGAACGATCATCTCCAGGTACTAGAATCAGAAGCATTCTCCTATTTCTCTGGTGATCAGAACCATTTTAATCTATAGTGGCACCCATTCTCAAGTTCAATAAAATCTGAAACTTTATAAATCCTGTACACTGGCAGAAGATTTAGAAACCCTCAATTCCATTTTGTGTGGTGGTGTGGCACAGACTAGTACTGAATCAGCCAAGCCCTAAATTTAACTATATGCTAAATTTATTCTTGTTATTAGAATTCAACAACATAATGAAGGTGCTTCACCCTCATCTCCATCTTCCTCATCCTCACAAGCCTGTGGAAAACCCCAACAGTTTCACCTTCCATTTTAAATTAAACATGCTGTCATGTCAAAGTCTTCCCACATCCTGTTACAAGATACTGATTGAATGTTTCAGAGCTAAATGTTTTGAAGTCTGCTAATTACTGTAGGTCAATCTCCCCTTCACTTTGGGTAGTTTCTTATCTAAGGAAATTCTAGGGAAGCATTTGCATCCAAATGTAAATAATAATATGTCATGCTTCAAATATTCCTCCCAAAGAGGGAAGGTTGTAGGAAGAGTATATTCTAATATGAAGTCACTGGGGAGCAGAGACACAAGGCATGAGGAACAGATAAGTGAAAATGTTGGCCCACATGAACACTTAATTTTTTTAGAAAGGACTTTGAGTGTCATTGTATTCATTTTAGATAAAGCCATAATTACTTGCTTTTTATAAAACACATTGAGTGATACTTTTAAATTATATCATTCACACTCTTTTTTAAAGGAAAATCTTGTAAATACAGAAATGTTTGCAAGGAAAAAAAGCAAACACAAAAACCATCTGAGTTATTAAAGTCAGATTCAAAACATCCTCTTTATTCTCAACCCATAGAAGAGGGAGAGAATAATTACTTTTGGACAGATGATCAGAAGGAATTGGAAGGGAATAAGTAGATGGACTTTCATTTAATGAACTTTTTTTTAGGAAGTGAGAGTTAACAGCCTATAAAACAAGGTAGATTTTTTTGTGTGTGCTAGGCCCATCAAGATACCTAATACTGATTTATTTTTTGTTTTAATGCCATAGAAAGGATTTTTTGACATTCTGTTTACTACTAGATGAAGGGATTGTTGAAGTCTGTCTAAATCATACAGTTTGGACAATGCTGGCAGTTTTTATAATGTTAGGCTGAGCAGATGTTTCACATTTGCCTTCATTTGCATATATATTTTGTTTGAACATTCCCTTGACTATGTAAATGAGGAAGACATTTAGCTCTGCTGTTCCTTTAAATTCATTCCTCTTCAGTAACTGGATTGAAGATTTTAGAAGGTTATAATTTGTTCAGTAGTATTTCTGGGGCTTTTGACTTTAATTTTTTTAAGGCCCCCACTACATAAAAAATCTCTTGTAAGAACAATGAAGGTCTTCTTCTCTCCTCAGCTTTCCTAAATCAACGATGATGGCTTTTGTGCATGTAAGCCTGAATCTCTAGTTACTCAACAGTGTTTATTGCAACCCTTGACAAAGTGTGTCCTGTGGGCCACTTGTCCCTCAAAGATTTCAGACAACTTGTAGCCATACGCCTTTAAAACGCAAATTGTAACAGATTTGTTCATATCAGTGGCTGTTGCTTTGCAAGTTGTCTCATTAAGTCAGTGGGAATTACTGACTTGTGTAAGTGGTCACTAATAAAAGCAAGAGATGCAAAGTCAAACTTTTAATTGAAAGGTCCAGCAAAATAAAAGATGATCTGAGTGATGCTGAAGCTGTGACTGTTAGAGACTGATGTGCCTCTCCTTATTAAAGAAACTTGACTATTCTGTTTTACACCATTTGAAGTCAATAGGCAAACTGTGCTTTCAAATAGTCTAACTTGGTTTTCTGACAGTAGTCTGATTATTATTTTTTTCCTTTCAGAGCCTCCACAGTTTGTGGTAAAGCCTCGAGATCAGGTAGCTGCACTGGGGAGAACGGTGACTTTCCAGTGTGAAGCAACTGGAAACCCTCAGCCAGCCATCTTTTGGCGGAGAGAGGGGAGTCAGGTAAAACAGACTTTCTGTCCCTTCTTTCTGGCAGTTTCTTGAAGAGATGATGTCACAAGAGAAAAAGATTTTAATTATTCCTTTAAAGATGTGAAAACTAGATCTAGAGCTTAGAAATGCTGGATATTTCTTCTCTGCTTCTAAGTCTCACATCTGTGCTAGATGACGTCAGCCTTACTAGAAAGGATATCTATGTATTGCTCAATCTCCTGTTTTCTCCATTAATGTAAAAATAAATATATGAAACAACTAGAAACTTTTCATGTTTCACTACAATGAAAATATTTTTCACCTAAGGGAGAACTTTTAAGAGATGACTAATGCTAACGTTTGTTTGAACTCCCAAACACTCCCAAATTTTCAGGAAGTTTGGCTCTGGGTTTTTTGGTGCAGCTATTAGTTTGACATGTGTTTGCCTGTGCTTGGCAAACTAAACCATCTGTTGTATTGATCTGCACCCCTGCATGGGTAGGACACTAGTTTGGGACTAAGGAGATCTACTTTCCCACTCACTCAGTTGGCTGACAGGTCATACCTGAATGGGTCACTTTTTCTCCCAGCTTCCTTATTTGCATGAGAGGAAAAAATATTTTCAGCTTCTTTGTAAAGCGTCTTGAAAGCCGGTGGGTGAAATACAATATGGCACAGCAAGAGAATCACAGTTTTCTTTCACAGTCATCTTTTGAAGGAGGGATGTGACACAAAGTATTCTTTATTGGAAGGAAAGAAGGAATATGTGATTCTGGTTTTCCTGTGAATGAAGGAATGAATGGTGCAATAGCATATGACAGAGTTCTTTGTGTTATGAAACAATAGGCCAGAGAAATTGAGAACACTTAGAGATTGGCTTCTTTACTCCATTTGCAACATTTCTGTCTAAAATACCTAAGTACAACTAGACTGCTGACCAAATTTAGATGATAATCTCCAATGGTATAAGCATATAAGTATATTATGTTTATATTTGTATATGACCTGGATTTTTTTTCCCCAAGTATTGTCTAGTGCAGGATTTTTCAGGCTTGTTTTTGGCTCTGCTGAGTGGTGACCACTTGTGATGATTGAGGGAGCTGGAGGAGGAGGTCAATGAATAGGGTTTGCTAATACTGAAGTAGACAATGTTGTGTCCTGTTCCTTTTGATGATTTTTGGAAATGCAAAATGTAGTTAAGCAAGAAAGAGTAAAAAATAGCCTCTGTGACCTTAAAGTATCCTCATTCACAAATTGTTCAGCTTGAAGTAGAAATTTGGAATCCATATTTAGTGTAAAGGACTTGTATTATTTTGATTGCAGTTCTGATTTTGACCATTGTTGGTAAATGCTATGTACTTCAGAGCAAAACTATCTAAGTACAAACTGGCACAGGTTTTAATTCTATATTATAAGGCTCATTATAGAACACAAACACTATAATTTGAGAGACCTAACAGCATTTCTTTAAAAAAAAAATGCTCCATTCTTGGGAAGGTGACAGTTAAAATACAAATAAGTAAACCAACATCTGTATTTAAATGAAATAAATAGAATGCCCTTCAGTAACTTCTAAAAAAGGAAGTTAAAGCAAATTACTTAGGTTCACCACAGTTACATATACCCATATGGTATCTGTACATATCACATCTTCACTAGTGCCTGTTAAACTGAATAAAGACCACCATTGACCACAGAGAGTGTTAGAGCAATCCTAAAAGACTTACACAATTATTCGTCTATATCTGCACCTATTTTATTACAAAAAGTCCTATAAAAGCTATTCATAGTGGTATAGACATGCTTAAGATATGAAAACCAGAATGTTTTATATCTAATGTGAAAAGATTAATGTGTTTAGATATATTAAAGTTAAGATCATTGATGTTTGAATTTAGTTGACCCTTTTTCCCCACTTTCTTTTCTACGCATCTTGTAGAATCTGCTTTTCTCATACCAGCCTCCTCAGTCATCCAGCCGATTTTCAGTTTCCCAGACAGGTGACCTCACTATCACCAATGTCCAGAGATCTGATGTTGGGTACTATATCTGCCAGACTTTAAATGTTGCGGGAAGTATCATAACAAAAGCCTACTTGGAAGTTACTGATGGTAATATTACCTTTATTTTATCGTTCCTAAGTTTTTCTTTTTATTTGAAAACAGCAGTGGGATGATATGAGTTTGGTATCTCCTTTGCATGAATGTGTATTACATGTGTCTTTGAACATAAAAATCCTCTTTGGGCCATTGCTGTCAAGGATTTAAGATACTGGATATTGTGTAACAGAATATTTCCATTTTGTGTTTAGTAAGTATACTTCACTTTATGGATTTTTGTCATATCTTAATTTATTTGGCTCTTTTTTTACCTTTCCTGGCTAGATATAGTTTGCTTTAAAATTGCTTGCTGCCTGGCTCTTTATCACTATTATTGTGTGTTCACTTGCTTAGCATTTCCATTTACCTTATTTTGTTAGTACTGCAGTTAGAGCAAGGAAAAAACCTCAGTCTTTATGGAAGTCAGTAAAATAACATACAAACTTGGCCAACCTGCCAGTTATCATGAATAGTTCATATTTTTAATAGCAAAGATACCCATCAAAAGTAATTATCTTAGCACTTACTGAAAAAAAAAAATGCAGTCTGTGGAGAGACTTTGAGGGGTGAGAAGTTTTTGTCACAGATGAGTTTCCATAAACAAGGCCTTTGCCTTGTAGAAAACACAGAAATAATGTGGTGCTAGAAACATGCCATGAACCTGGAGAATAAAATTGTTTATTTACACATACTGAATTGAGATTGTTTGGAGGAATAGGACTGAATCCTTTCTGTTTTCTCACAAGTGGTAAGCTACATTTCTTAATCCACTTGTATTCATTTACCATTGGGGAGAAGGCTATGGCAAGATGAGAAAAAAATTTAAAAAGAAAATTAAGGTAAGAACCTTCACCTTAAGAGTTTTTCTCTTAACGACCTGCACAATCTGAACTTGAGAAAAATAAGTTTCATTTAAATATATTTTCTTTACTATGAATTAAGCTCTGGATTGATCTGTTGAAAAATTGTTTTGCATAATGTCTTGGGACAGTATTTTCTTTGGTACTTTTATAAAAGTAAAGGCAGGATATGCAGAATGATACCCTGGTATTCCTAAAGGGTAATAGAAGTTGCCATCAACCTCAGTTGCACTTAAATTTACCATGAATTTCAGTGGATTTCTCCTGTAGAGCAGACATCAGTCTGCCTCGTACCATTGACAACTGCAAAGCTCTTTAAAATTTGTTGAAGTTTAATACAAAGTATAATTGAGCTTATTTTGACTGTCTCTGCAGAGAATGATACTAATGGCCTCGCAATGCATTGTAGCAGGTTGAGACAAGAAGCAAAGGATAAATTATGCAGTTGAAAACACAGTGTCATTTGAACATGCAAATGAAATTATGGGAGTTGGAATTTAGCCCAAAAAACCAGTACTAACACCCTGCCTGTTGTTACAAAAAGTAATTTAGAAGTATCTGATGTTCACAGATTATCAGAACTTCAGGTTCATGTTTCAGCTACCAAACCAGTTTTTAAGTTACTTGAGCCCCTGTGACACTACTGAACAGATTTTTGGCATTTAAAGCTGTGGTTATTTTCAGATCATCAGTCCATGTCATGTTGGATGGTACAGGTAGAGGAGGTCACTGAAACACAATAAGATAGCTTTTACCTCTTTTTTTTAATTATCCATTGGATAATGGGAAAAACCTTTATGTAGACAGTAATTCTTTTTTCTGTGAATACTGAGACTGCTTTATACCATTCTGTGCAGTTATTAAATAACCCATCACTAACATTTAATTTTCATTGTGTGAAAGATACATTAAATTAAAACACACCGTGGGATTCTCTTTGTGACTTTGAAGTCATATTGACAGATTAAGTCATCATAGAACTAAAAGTCAGAAACTACTGGAAAAGTACATCTTAGTTGAAAATTTTTAATGTGGTCCTATTTATGAGCTTTGTGTTTACTTCAACCTGCTGCTAGGCATCTCTCAATTAGGAAACAGCACCAAGATGTGTAGATGGTACACAATAACATTTTTTTAAGAAGTACATGTTTGCCAGAAGTACATACCCTGCCTGCCTACCTCCTTTTTCTCCGTCTTTGAAAGCTGAAATAATGAATTCTGTTGTACAGGCCTGCTTTGTGGTAGGTGAACAAGGTGAAATATGTGCCTCGGTGACACTGGAATTAGAGGATGCCTAGCAGATACCACTGTGTAATATGTCATACTTCTTTACTTTCTGAAAATACTGTGTTGTGTATCGTTTTAAAATTCTGTAGTTGTGCATCATTATAATGCACCCTACCCTGAATAATTCATGCCTCCAACTTTAATTACTTGTTTAATCATCTTTAGTTTCTTTCAAAGCCTCAAGCAACTGCTGTTGCTTAGATGATTAAAAAATTGCTTCCAGTTGCAGAAATCTCTTTCCTGTTGTTTCTTCTGGCAGTGATTGCAGACCGGCCTCCCCCTGTCATTCGACAGGGTCCTGTGAATCAGACTGTAGCTGTAGATGGTACTTTAGTACTGAACTGCGTGGCCACAGGCTCTTTAATGCCCACTATCCTCTGGAAAAAGGATGGGATCCTCATTTCTACACAGGACTCTCGCATCAAGCAGTTGGAGACAGGAGCATTACAGATCCGATATGCCAAGGTAGCTTGAACTGGGTTTTCCTACTTTATGTTTCACTTCTTTAAAAAAAAAAATAAATCTCTGGGCACTTTTGGCATAGTTCCTACATTTGGAATTAATGAAATGTTAAATAATTGCATTAACATATTTGATACTTCATGCTTTTAGATAGTTCATTCTTTGTGCCTAACACCTTGGCTTATTCTGCCTGGGGCACATTATTTCAGATTTAATAAGGAAAAATGCTTTTAAGAGCTATTAATTAAAGAGCTTTGTGGGTACTTAAAACATGAAGGGGAAAGCAAAACTTGTATTTCAGTAAGAAGAATCCTTAGATTATTTGGGCTGTAGCACTAATAGATTAAAATAATCTAATTATTTCAACTGTTTATAAAGAAACCCTTTGTTTAGCATACTGCAATAATAGAGGCATGTACACAGCTTTTTCAAAACAGGTTTTAAAGTTTAAACATATTCACTTGACAGTGTAAACATAGCTTAAAATTGTTAACCACCTCTCAAATACCTGGCTTGCTCAGGGAATTATAGCAAGTACCTGGTCAGTATTGCTGGTCGTGCTTCGCATGCCGTAATATCTTTTAAAATATTGTTAAGTTTTAGTGTACTGGCTATTCTCTGCTATCTTTCCTTTGAAAATGTTTCTTTTCTTTGAAAAGGTTTGAAATGTAGTGATTTTTTAAAAATTAGGCTGAATATATTACTTTACTATATTCTCTAGAGTTGCTGTTACTAGGTACGAGTAACACTGACTTAGAGTTTGAATGTGTGATTTTTGAGTGCTTCCATTCAGCTCATCTGCTGAGGCTGGGACCTTAGGAGGATAGCATTTCTTTTTGGGGAAAAAAAGAAACTCTTTTGAAATGTGATTAAGTCACATATGGAGAAATAATCCAACATTCAGAACTGGATGACAGTAGCATATGGAGATTCTTTTTTGGGTCTGCTGTAGAGTGAAATTTATACTAACACAGGGAACCCCATATGTACGTGGTCCTGTGCAATATTTAAACTTTTTTTTAAGGTCAACATACTCCCCAATGCAGCAGTCCAGACAAATGCCCAGGCATTATTTAGGCAGAAGGTTGACAGTTGCATGGGGTGTTGTCATCTGAGTTCCTTCTCAATTTATTTGTGTACCTATGCAGAGTAAGGAACAAATGCAACAAGAATTGACCTTCAGTTTGTTTGTTACCAATTAGATAACATTAAATTAGAATCTGCAGCTTTTCCAATTCTTTAGCAAATGCTCATAAATAAGTATTCATTTTCATTTTGCAGCATATAAATTTATACTTTCTAATGGAAGAAGTTTCTGGTTGGAAGTTTTTGCAGCCTAATACCTTTGTCCATATTCATGGGGGAACATAGAGAGCTATAATTACTTTTCTAGCCCACCGAGTGCCTGATTGTTTCAAATATTTATTCTTTTCTCTTCCCACTCAGCTGGGCGACACTGGTCGGTACACCTGCATTGCTTCAACCCCAAGTGGTGAAGCTACATGGAGTGCATACATAGAGGTCCAAGGTAAATCAATTAGGTTTTTTCTGTGTGGAGAAAATACATAAAAGAAAATCAGAAATTGAAATGCTGAAATTATCTATGTCATAAATTGCCAGTGCAGATGTGAACAGCACAAGTGTTTAGCTAACAGCTGCTTCCTGTCTATACTCAGCATTTCTCTTTCTTTTGTTAGAGTTTGGAGTCCCAGTGCAGCCACCAAGACCCACTGACCCAAACTTGATTCCTAGTGCTCCATCAAAACCCGAGGTTACAGATGTCAGCAGAAATACAGTAACATTGTCATGGCAACCTAATCTGAATTCAGGGGCAACACCAACCTCTTACATAATTGAGGCCTTCAGGTATATGAGTCTCATGTGATCTTGCTGTACTTATATATAATACGTTGTTAAAGAAGCACGTGCTAACCTACTGTTGTGTGTGTTTTATCCATAGCCATGCATCAGGTAGCAGCTGGCAAACTGTAGCTGAAAATGTGAAAACAGAGAGTTTTGCAGTTAAAGGGCTAAAACCTAATGCAATTTATCTATTCCTTGTGAGGGCAGCTAATGCATATGGACTAAGTGACCCAAGCCAAATATCTGATCCAGTGAAAACTCAAGGTAAGCTTTTGATACTGAACATTTTAGGTGTCACAAGTTGACTGAACAAAACCAGATGCAGGAATTCTGCTAGCTTTTGTCTATCTGTCTATCCTGGCTATAATACATGCTAGATAGTAAAATACGATGTTTAAGCTTACATTTCCCTCCGTCATGGATTCTAAAAGCTGCTTAGACAGCATATTGCATTACCTAAGGGGTTCCTAGTATCTCTTATCCAAAGATAGTTACGTCTTGCAGAATAGCTTTTGTTAGCACAGAAGTAATCTCTGATTTTTTTAAGTTATCACACAAATCCTCAAATTCCTTGGAAATGTTATTATTATGTCCAGTGTATCAATTGAGGCTTAAGACTGAGACACAGAGAGAAACAGCACATAATCTAATTTGCTTTCTGCTGCATTAAGAAAGACAGAAATTTAAAATTTGAAGGAATCGGGCATTATGAGTCAGTAAATAACAGTTTTTGGCAATATATTAAAAGTATTGCAATAGTCCTACTATTGAAAGTAAAACAGTAAGGAAGAGAGACAATGCTTGCAGATAGCCAAGTGGAAGAGAAGGACGAGTAGTAGTGAATAAAGGAGTCATTTGCTGACTTCAGCTAGGACTGAAGTCCTGCCGTGGACTGAATCCAGCTTTGTAAAATTTAAAGTATCTTTGTGTTCACCATAGAAAATAAATGACATTTATGATGGTGTACAGGGAATAATGCACTGCAACTTTGCAGTGTGCATTTTTCTAGTAGAAATACTTTGATTCCTAAGAAGTAAAAAACCAAGACATATTCTTTTTAAAAGTAAAAGTGATTGTTATATATATATATATATATATATA